ATATGAAACTTATAATATTAAATATATTTATTTATTTAATAATATATAAAAATTATATAAAAAATTATTTATATAACATCATCCATTCAACAATAATCAAAATCCCAAAAAGAGAAAGAAATAAAAAAAGAAAAGAGAAAGCAAAAGGAGTAGATAGCGGAAGCAAATAACAGCACCAAATCTAATCAAAACATCACAATTTATGAGTTCCTTTAATTTCAAACCATAAAAAAAAAAAAAGCAGTTTATGAAAATAAGCTCATGGTCACACCGTCACAGTCACAGAGCATCTCTGATTCTTCCACGATTCACCCAAATTCCTCCATGAGTCACGCTGTGATGGGATCTTGCAGAATTGGTGTCGATTCCATGTCTCGCGTGTAAGCATCCTCGCACCTGATACCCCGCCGCACGTTCGGTTTCTTTTTTTACTTATTTTTTAATTATTATATATAGAAACAAAGGACACGGAGGATGAGACCCTGACAGCTGCATCAGGATTCTTTTGACACGTGTCAAGACTTTGATTGGTCGTAGTGTCCCACCATGCTTTACTTACATAAACAAACCTGGAAAATCGCGCCATAGGACACTTGGAACAGCATCGGCATATCGGCCTTACAAAAGTAGAATATTGTAGAATTTCTTTTTTCTTATTAGAAGAAGATAATTATTTTTTTTAATTATTTTTATAATATTTGTTATAATTTTAGTATTGTAACGTGTTAATATAATTGATAAAGTCTTGAATTAGTCTAATTGTTATAATATAAAGTTACATCATACTAGGTATTTAGTTATAGAAATAATTAATTTTATCATTTTTTTAATCTTTGTTACATAATGAGAATCAACAATTTTTTATTTTTTATCTTACTTCGCTCGCAAGTCATATGATTCTAATTCAGAATTTTTTATTTTTATTGAAAGAAATAACTACTGAATTGTTTAAATAATTGATTAATTTTATTATTTTTAAATATTATAATTGAATTAATTATAGTAAAATTTAATAGTATAAAAATCTTGCTTTATTATTTAATTTATATTAAATTATATATTATTAATTATTAAATAAAAATAATTTTAATATTAAAAATTATAATTCTATTTAATAATTAATATTATATAATTTAATATAATTTAAATTATGTAATACTTTTTTTAATAATATATAAAGTTACACATTATATTATAACATACATATTAACTACACGACGTGTAAATATATACAAAGAGGTAAAGTGTTTTCTTTATTAATTTTATATTGTTTTATATCGGCCACAACCATATCTGCGATGGAGAAGTCTAAAGAGGGGCAGTTAGAAGTTCATGTGAGTCTCCTCTATTGTGTGGACAGCTGTGTGATACTATGACGAATGTGAACCATAAATAATGCAATATATATTATTATTGTCTCTCCATTTTGTCCACTTTATAATAAAATAAAAATAAATAGATATTCAATATTTTTTTAATTTTGTGTAATGGCTTGTAAAATATAACTGTGATATTACACAAAATTTAAAAAAATATTGAATAAAAAAATAATATTTATTCACCTTATCTCTTAAAAAGTAAAAAAATATTATTTTAAAATTATATCATTTTAATAAATACTTATTAAAAAAATTAAAAAATTATATTCTTAAAACATAAATTAAAGGTTTTTTTGTCATTTTTCCTCTTAAATTTTTAAAAGTAAGACGAATAAATATTAACCTCTAAAAAAAGTAAAATATAACTTGTGACATTTCTATAATTAATTATTTTTATTCAAAATCACAAATAAATTAATACTTTATCCATTTATTTTTAGTAAGTTTAATTTAATTTTTTTATTTTTAAAAATTAAATTTTAGATAAAAATTTAATAATTTATATAAATAACAATTAAAATTTTTTATTAAATAAAAATAATTAACAAAAATTATATTTAGAGTAAAAAAATTTTAATTATTATTTATATTAATTATTAAATTTATATTTTTTTATATTTAAAAAATAAAAATATTAAATATATATTTATCGGAATGTGATTAATTTTTATATAAAGATTTGTAAAACTTAACATAATTAACATTAAGAAGACAAATCAAAACGTTTTGACGTTAAAGATATTAGAATATTTAATAATAATTATATGATAAATTTTGATAAAATTAAAATTAATATTATATTTTATATATTTAATAATTATAATCGATCATTTTAATAATTTAATATCAAAATATCTTAATCTTTCCTCGCCCAATTAATATTTTCCCTTTATTTGGGACCTTCAAATTAATCGATCGGATCGATCGGCTGCGCATGGATGTGTAGCTAGCTAGGACACTTGTCTATAACCTTGCAAAGTTGCACCATCATCGCCGCTTATGAAGGAAGAAAGTCGCAGCGGGCCCATGCCATGGAAATCAACTAACAATATTATGCATTAATCATCATGACAAATTCAACAACGTCTATACGTTAAACTATGTCCATCCTTGTGGTAGTAGGGGTTTTACGCCTGAGTACTGCGTTATGCCCCACACTAAAAGTAGTTAGTACTATTATACAATAATATTATAATTATAATGCTTTAAAAATGATAATTTATAATCAATAATTTAAATAAATCATTAATAATTTATTTTCGCTTGAAGTAAAAGATCTTGAATTCAAATCATATAATATGCGGATGAAGTAAAATAAAAGATGAAAGAGGATTACCTCCCGTTTTACAACCAATATAAAAAAAAATGTAACTTATGAATCAAATCTTTAGATTCAAATGATTTGTTTCAAATCTTAAGATGGTTAGGTTAGTTGACCAAGATTTTGAGTCCCATTAACATCTTGAAAAATTCCCTCCCTCAATATCCCCTAAATTATAAATTGTTTAAAAAAAAAGAGGTAACTTATATGATATTAAATAATATAATATAAT